GTAGGGTTGGCTCGGGACCTCGAACCACCCCCCCCCCCCCCCCCCCCCCCCTGTAAACAGCTTCCCGGGCCTCCATTGGTCCGCTGGTTTCCATGGCGCCTCATTTTTAATCACGCTCAAGTCAACTGATGCTGCTGCCAGAAGGGTTCTCAAGCTGAGGCCCGCGGACCCAACATGGGCCTTTGACTGGAGCAAACGGAGGATTACTTCAATTCTACAGCAATTGAACTATATATATATTTATATACCTTTACTGCATTGAGCTGAAAATACTACTGTACTTTTACTGCATGAAGCCGGCGATACTTGTCTACTTTTACTGCATGACGCTCAGAATACTTTACAGTACTTTCTGCTCCATGCAGGATTTTAAAAACAGGACTTTTATTTGTTGGACCAGAGTTTGTGTTTATGTAACTGTGTGTGTGTGTGTGTGTGTGTGTGTGTGTGTGTGTACTTTAGTTCATGGGACAGAGGGGCCGAACAAAAAGCTGTGACCCCTGATCGTTGTGTTAGTGTGTGTATGTGTGTGTGTGTGTGTTTCCTGAGGCCTCTCAAAGACTGTAAAGCAATAAAAACGTCCTCTTCACTCGAGTCCTAACGTGGAGCGTTGTGTCCAACACCTGCTCACACACTCACACACTCACACTCACACACTCACACACTCACACTCACACACTCACACACTCACACACTCACACTCACACACTGATGTGAAAGAGAGAAACAGGTGAGTTTCATCCACTGAACGTTCTGGAGGTCTCCTTTCAGAATAAAAGGTGTGCAGATATTACAATAGAAGAAGAAGAAGTCAGTCTGGATCGTCTATTGAAACTTAAAACATTCGCTGAAATAAAAAAGAGAGAAACAGTGAAATTATGTTTTTCTATTTAACATCATTTTTTTAAAAATATAAAATACATTTCAACACATTCACCGACAATTTCTGAACTTCTAGTTTTTCAAACATTGTAAAGCTTCAAACAGGAAACAGATGGTGTTTTATATTTTATAAAGGAGATCCATCATTTTATGACTTTATAATATATTGTCATCATTTGTGATATTTCAATTATTAAATATTGTATTATAATTGTTACTGTTACTTTTATTATGGTTGTATTAATTCTATGTTTTCTATCAACTCTAACTGTTGACATATTTGCAGTATTCAGATTTTCTACTTCGGTAAAAGTAATACAGTGATGTACAAATACTCCATTACAAGGAACAATACATTCAGAATCCCACTGAGGTACAAAGCAACAAAGAATTATATTATTATTATTATTGTACTATTACTACTGATAAATCAAAATGTACGCTTTAACTACATTTCATTTGTTTTATAAGACGATCGTATGTAAAGTAACTAAAACTGTCAAATATAGGGAGGGAAGTAAAAGTATGAAAGTACAATATTGCTGTACTTTTACTGCACGGAGCTGAGAACACAATAGTACTTTTAAAACAAAAATGAAAAATGTCCAGAAAAGACATGCAGACTTGTACTCCATGTCCAATAGTACTTTTCAAAGTACTGTAATCCAGTTTGATGTAGCGACATGATGGAACCAGAGAAACCAGTAAAGTCAGCCGGAGGAAACTGGTCTTCATTTTGTTTCTGATCACAACACACTGGAGACGAGACAGACAGAGAGACAGAGAGACAGAGAGACAGAGAGACAGAGAGACAGAGAGACAGACAGAGAGACAGACAGACAGACAGACAGAGAGACAGACAGACAGACAGACAGACAGACAGAGAGACAGACAGAGAGACAGACAGACAGAGAGACAGACAGAGAGACAGACAGACACCCAGACAGAGTCCTCAGACAGACAGGGATGGAGACAGATTACAGAGAGACAGATCCGATGGTGGACTTGACTCAGACAGAAAAGTATTTTTTTTATTATTTTATCACGCATAAATGGAAAACGTCATACGTCTGACATATTGCAAGTGTTCTGTAAATTCAGCTCCATCTTCTTTAAAAAAGAAAATAACTAATATTGACAAAACAAATGAAAGAAAAACAGAAATATGAATCAACAAAGTGTCTCTGTTGATTCTATAAACTTAGGACTTAAACTTAGAACCAGAAGAAGGAAAATAATCAGAGGCTCAAATATTAAATTACTGTAACTAACATTTGTATGAGAAAATGACTTAAACGTTGAATAAAATCACTTAACATAAAATTATTTGAACCAGTTTATATGTAAATACATCACACAGGTGGACAAACCTGAGAGTTTATCAGCTCCGATCAATGGAATCAATAACTTCTGTTATAAACAATAATCTCAGTTTGTTTGCTTCATCCAAAGATTATTTAAATTTTGGGTCAAAACATTTGTTCCGAGGACTTCAGCAAGTTAAAGTCTGTTGATTCATAATTTAAAATAACGTTCAGCATTGTTTAATGAACATAATAACACAGTGGTATAAAGTTATAAGATCATTTTTTAATACAATGACTGACTGACTTTATAAACACCTGATATTATAGAAGGAACACAAGAATTAATTGAAATCTTTCATAGAATTAGTTATAATTCTTTAAAGTGTAACTCTAGTGAAGCTGGATGTGTTCACAGGTAATGCTCCATGTGGACACAAGAGGGCGCCACATTCATGTTAATGACCCACGTTCTGTTTGATTCACATTGTTTAGTTATTTTACATTATAACATTGAACTCATACATTTTATTTGTGCATTCAAAGATATTATTTGGTATCATAACTATTAAAACCACATAGTATATATGCAGCAGTACCGAATGTTTAAAAAACTAATATACATACATTTACATGGTAAAAGTACTAATACCACACAGTACAAATACTCTTAGTAAAGGATCTGAATACTTCCTCCACCAGTGAACCGAACAGACTGTATTTAGACCTTACAGACTGAAGTTAAAGGGTTAAACACAGACTGTATTTAGACCTTACAGACTGAAGTTAAAGGGTTAAACACAGACAGT